CGATGTTTTTTTTTGGTGAGTGCTTCCTGAGATTCACCTTGGACAGACCGGTTCCACCGACGCTTGTGCTGAACCACATTTACATCGAGTTTTTTCAGTGATGGTCAACACTTCCATGTTACTTCCATCAAAGCTTTGTTTATCAACCTTCACCGCCGGAGAATACACCATGCTCTACCACCCCCTAAGGCTTCAGAGATTTGCGATGTGTATGCGTTTGACCAATCCACATTATATGGTTGGCAGCGAACATAGAATTATCCACTGAGGGCTCCTCGGGGTATTGGACTTCATGAACCTTTGTTTTTATTTGAGATGATGCTGCTATACAGCTTTCTTGACGGGGAAATGCATACACTCTTTCAAGGGTATTGTGGTAAGTGCGATTTGATTGATCACCTGCCGACTGCCAGGTTCCACCGGGCCTTCCTCACAAAGTGCTTCATCGAGCCAGCCGTCAAAAGGTGCCTTTCCACCAGCCTGGGACGGTTCACTTGGAGACCGTGTGCAGGGGAGACAGAGAGAGAGGGGGAGAGAAAGGGGAACATCATGGCGTTGCTGAAGGGGAAGCAAAAATATGTACAGCAGTGTCAGAGTAGATTATGAATCTGCAAGGGGTTGTAAAAATAAACCCCTTGTAAAAGTCATTTTTGGGTTTGTGCCATACTCTGAACCCACTGTATAAAGATTTTGCAGCCTCAACCAGTATGAAACCTCATGATCTTCTATAGATGCATCCACTCGGCAGCCATTTTTGGGGTTCACTGAGTGCTAGAATTTTGACATGGCATCTGCGGGGCTGGGCCGCACACATACAGCCACTTCCCTAATGGCTGGTGTGGTCTACTTGAATGGGGAGCCGCAACCGTCCACCCCTACCAAGTCTAGAGAGACTCATATGCATTTAGTGGGCACGCAGTGCTACACATGTCGAGGTGCATACCTGATCTTACCTGCATGCATTGTGCATTCAATCCCGACTCTTGTTCGTGTATTTTTCAGGTGAAGAACGAGACTGATGAACACGTGGAACTTGACCTTCATCTTAGCCCAGAAACCGGTGCACTTGTCCATGGGCTGGGTGATTCACCAGAAAGTTTGATGCTAAAATCAGAGATCCTTCGAGCGGCCAATCAACTGAAGAGAGGCCTTCATGAGTTGCCCCAAATGTCATCAAATGTCTTTCCATCTTGAGCCAAATGTTTTAGCTTTTTCTAGTGGGCCCTGCTAGGCTATTCCAGTGGTTCAGCTGGTGGTGACATCATTGGTGGCCATCCTGCTGAACTTGTGCCCCCACAGGACACCCATCCTGCTGAACTTGTGCCCCCACAGGACACTGGTGAGCCCACTCCTGATCACCCAAAGGAGCCGCCTGCCACAGCTCCAGTTCCACCACCTGAGCCCGAAGTGGCAATGGATTTGGAACTGGAAATGAGGAACCGCTTGGAGTGCCATATGAAACAATTGGAGGATAAGTTTCAACAAGATTTCATGGCAAAGAAACGAAAGGCAGAACAGGACTTGGAAGATGAACTTGAACTGAAACGGATTGCACGCATGAGGGACTTAGAGGAAAGTATCCGTGAAGCAAAGCTTATGCAGGAAACCAAACTAGCAGACTTGAGTATGCAGCTATCTGAGAGAATGCAACTTGTTGCTGACGAGCAATCTTTGCTCGATGACTTGAGGGAGAAGTCTGCTGAAATGCAGCGGAAACTGGACGAAGAGGCTAAGAGGGCCAATCTACCCCCGAGCACCCCAGCACCCCCGAGCACCCCAGCACCTGCATTGTCCGCAACTGCATTGTCCAATCATTTGAAGGAGCTAGCAAAGCAAAAGCTAGAGCAAACTGCTCAAAAGCAACGAGCCCTTGCGACCTCTGCCAACACTTTGGCGTCTCCGACCCAACCAGCTCCAGTGACTGCCAAAACTGCAACCCCATCCCCAAGCCAAGGAACGGCAACTGAGACTACACCTGGAACCAGTGTGGCAACCCCTCCTGTGACTGAACCTGGGAGCCAGGTCGTGATTCCATCAACTGACATGCGATTCACATCGTCCACTCATCCTGCTGCTTGGCAGTTCCTATACCGCCTCTGCAAGAAAGAGGAAACGTGCGGCAAAGATCTGTATGACATGTGGCATGCAGGTTGGAAACTTATTTAAGCTTGCATGCATGTATACATGTCCCACATGCAGTGGATGGTACTGTCCCAACACCTGATCCTCATGCGCGCAGGTGGATCGAAACGTGACAAACTTCTTCGTGATTTTGTTTGCCGCTGTTACAGCCCCACAGAGGACTTTGCCAATAACAAGGCCATCTAAACCATCAATCTCTTGAAAGTGTTGGTGGCAGTCCATTTGTTTATGGGGGATTCTGCAAAGCAAAATGGTGGCACTCCATTTGTTTACAGGGTGTTCTGCAGAGCAAACCTCCACCCTGTTTTCACCCGCTGCTTTTGCCCAAAGGGAAACCTCGTCCCCAACGCGTGTCGTTTTCGGAGGCCAAGCTCCAGGCGCTCGTCACTTTGCGGAATTCTGCCAAAGCCTGGCGGAAGAATCTCCAGGGGTATTCATGGCTTACGGAAGCAGAGATGAGGGCGTTGGGCTGGCCAGAGAAACCCGGTACAAACCGCATACACCTCCCACACTCCATGTTCAGGGTTTTGGTTTGGTAGTGGTCCCTGTAGACTGTACACTTTAAACCATTGCACCTTTGACAATCCTCCAATAGCAGCTAAGGAGCAAAGTGGAAGGTGCGGTTCGATACTGCACCCGGCGCAAACTTACAAAGACCGCTCTTTCGCTGGTTGCTTTACAGTTTAATAACCTTAATTCGTATTTCTCTTCAACCCCTATCGCTCTCCTTTCCAGGAAGTGCATCTATGATGACAAGTCCGTGAAGTACTTGGTTCAGGTTCGAGATGATGTAGAGGCTGGGGATGAGAAACTCAAGGAGTTAGAGCAAGAGATGAAAGACTGGGGTATCTTTGATACGGACTTCTCATTGGGTGATGCACTCGATGAGGAAGAAGAGAAGAAAGACGATCCCAAACCTAAAACCAAGATGGTAGAATTCCCAGTTGTAGAGGGGGATGAGACAGTGGTTGAGTACGTTGGTCAATACAAAAAGGCATGTTTGAGCCGCAAAGCGCTCTTGAAGAGCACCCGGGAACGCTTGGAGAAGGACAAGGCCCAAGGATATGAGATTCTCAGCTGCCACCGATTATATATACATGCGGTATTTCTGTCACGCTTTCGTGGGTTCAATCAACTGGTTGCTTTTAGTCTTATATATACCTTGAGATCATCCTTGTGCAACCTACAAGGAAAGACTTTCAGCTTTTGGACGACGTGGGAAGACTCTTGACGAATGACCAGCTGGATGTGATGATCTTTCTTCCTTCCTTTCCTCCCTTCTATATGTTTGTTTGTGTCTTTTATTTATTTGTTTGTTTGTCTTTTGTTTTTCAGTTCGTGATTCTTTGCAGTACTTGTCATGTCATTCCTTCTTTCTACAGTTCAAGATGTTTATCGTCTTTCGACACTGTTTGTTTTGATAGTATTTGCTTGTTATGTCTTTATCTTCCCCCGACTTTTGGTGGAGACATGTTGCGCAATGATTTCTTTCAATGCTGCAGCGCAGCGTGAAGAACAACAAAAGAGTCAAACAGTGCTGTTGACATCAACCATGGATTCCAACATGAGCCCTGCTACGCTAAAAACAAGTGCAAGTTTGTTAGTGTGGCGCCAGCTGGTTGCCCCTACGATCCCACTGCATCGCCTAGGTGAGCTCAATGGGCTCTACCAAACGCTCAATACGATTGAGCAGGGGAAGGAGAGCCGCCAGAAACTTCAATGCACCAAGAGGGCTGCAAACAAAGCTCAAATTGTTGGCCAATGATCCTGTTGTTCACTATCGTGATATTGTGAACTCTTAGGAAGTCAGCCTACGCGGAAACCTGCGAGAAGATCCGGGTCAAGTCTCCACCTCATATATTTGATGATGACTGTTCCTTACATTGCACAGTCCGAAACTCCAAAACCTGCGCAAGGTGTATTGCCTTCAGCAACCAACATGCGCAGGTCAAGAACCTTGGAAGCATATAGAAGAGATGCGCATGGTATACCATCTATGGTGGGTCTGCTTTGCTTGTGTAGATTCAGAAACCCTTTGTTGTTGCTATACACGCAGAATACAGCTCATGATTCCACCATGTGCCGTTTTTCTTTTGGGGTGCACACCAGCCAAGGACATTCTTTGTCAAGCCCCCTCCCAAAGCGAAAGGAAAAGCCAAAGCTGCGGAGTGAGGAGCTTTTGAATATGTTTTGACGCTGCAAAGAGTGATCCCGCCCGTGCCCAGCCTTTCAGCGGGTCAACACAGCACGGCATTGCTCGGATGTGTAATGCAGTTGCGCTAAAATGTTGTCATGTGTTTTCCCACCTGGTTTGCCAAGGCTGTGTTTGCTGGGGCTTTAAGCACGGGCTTCTTTTGGAAGCCTTCAAGTTGATATAGCATACAAAGAGCACGTGTGAGGTCAAAATAGTACTGCGTCGGTGAAGTTAAAACACTTTGGACCGGACTGTGGTTGTATTGTTTTTGATCCAAATGATTTCCCTTTGGGGTCATTGACTCGTCCAAATCCTTAACATGTTCAGATAGCATATGCAGTAGAAATATATATAGAGAGAGAGAGGGAGGCCTGTAGACAGCCATACACCTCCCACCGCAGGTGCTTCCAATGCTTCTGAACCAGATGTGGTGTCAGATGTCTTGAAAACATACGTTGTACCCTGGCTGAATCAAACACTTTTTTAGGTGCTTTTAACGATCCATGCACCTATATATATATATATATCCAACTAAATGTCTTAATTGTCCATTTGTCATCATCTATAAAAACGGTTTGACCATTTGTAATCATCTATCAAAACAGTTGAGGCTCACTCAGCTGAAGCGGCCATCCAACAAGCGAAGGGCGCTGGCCATCTGGCCATGTGGAGCAAGCAAAAGGTTGTTCTGCAAGAATTAGGATCTTTAGCTGACCAACGAGAGGGTAACCGCGGCCGTGCTTTCGCGTCTCTCTTGAAGAAGCGCGGCTTGATGTTGAATGTACCGGTGCGTTGGCTGCGAAATGTCATCAGGCTGCATTTAGCAGTATCTTAAGTTTGTTGGGATGATGGTGGATAGCCCCGCACTAAAATCACTAATTTAGTGGGTTCTCCCATGCCAAAAAACCCTGCAGGTACATCCTGTGAGTGCTAAGCTTCCCTTCAGAAAGAAGAGGAGGAAGAAAGTGGACCACCCCGTGATTGACATTTATGACATGGCCCAATTTATCCTCCAGTCAGAACAGTTTTCAGAAAAGCTTCTGAACCATCCTATTTCCAACGAAGAGGATTGGACTGCTGCCCTGGAAACTTTCTGGGAGAAATGGAGGTGTTTAGAACCATGGAACAAAGTGTTTGAGGAGCATGCCAATGACTTGGCACATTGCATCCCTTGCATGCTGCATGGTGACGAAGGGGTTGGACACCGCAGGAAGCCCATCATGCAAATTTCATGGGGGAGCCTCCTACGCGTTGGCAAAAATTCCTTGCAAAGGATGTTCATGTATACTTCCTGCCCGCACAAGCTGTATTCAAAGTACAACAAGGGCGCTGCGCATGGAAATTTTGTGTTGGACAGACTGTTCAAGGAATTTGCAAAGTCTGCCTACAAAGCTTACAATGGTGTGCCAGGCAAGGGAGAGCGCACGTTCTACCTGGTATTCCTTGGTGTGGCCGGCGATCATCCCTTTCAAACGAAGGTGTATCGATCTGAGCGTGGGCATTTACACCTTGAGATTTGTCCTCACTGCCTTGCCAACACTTACAGTGTTCCATTTGAAGATCTGTCAATTGATGCACTTTGGCGTAAAACGCTTTTCCAGGCAGTACCGTGGAACCGCCATCGAATGCCACCGTTGGCTATCATGCCAGGAGCACTCGATGCTAGATTTATCCGGTGGGATTTGATGCACATGCTCCCGCATGGGGCCGTTCGGACCTTTGTGGCTTCGGTAGTTTGCATGATGTGTGGACCTCTGGATATGTTTGAGTCTGCGTGGGACGCATCAAGCAGCAAAGAGGCACGATTGGAGGAAGCATATAGCCATTTTCAATCGTGGTTGACTGCAAAAGGATCGCACGTCCGTGATCTCAAAGAGTTTACGGTGGAGAATCTTGGATGGCAGCAGAACCGGTCATTTCCAGATATGACCTGCAAAGCAGCTGATACAACCTTGCTGGTACAATGGCTCATTGACTTCATATCAACGGTTCCGTTTGAGAGAACGTGGGTCTTGTGTACTGCGCTGGAGGGCTTGGAAGGGGTCGATGAATTTTGTCGTTTGGCATACTCCTCAGATGACAGACTTTTCTGGAATCAAACCAAGCAAAGACTTGGAAAGTGCTATCTTGGAGCCTTTCTACGTGCGTACGTTGAGCTCGCTGCTTACTGGCACAGGGCTGGGTGGACTTTGTTCAAGTTGGTTCCAAAGCTTCACTACAGTGCCCATTGGCATGAGGACTTGCGATTGAGCCTGGAAGAAGGCAATGCTTGGGCTTTGAGCCCAGGAGCCTTTTCAACCCCGATCCTAGAGGATTACATTGGTATTTCTTCTAGAATTTCCAGAACGTCCCATCCCAGCAGTGTTGCAAGGACAACCATTTTCAAATACCTGGTTGAAATTCGAAAGGCGTGGTCAGCGGATGTGAAGCGATGAGATATGTGAGAAAAGCTGCTTGCTGGGCAGTACATTCATGGGTCCCCCCACAACAATGACCATAGGAAATTCTTGTGAACAAGTATTGTTGGTCGGAACGAAAATGTTTGGCTTTGGGAAGAGCCCAGGAAAAAGAACGTCGAGAGAGGGTAGAGGTATACTATATGATCTATGTGGTGCCTTCTTTTCTTCAACTTACCCTTTTGCAAATGCGCCGAGTTCTGCTTCTGTCTTTGATGATGTCTGTGGAGGCGGCAATGTGTCGATCAGCTTCGAACGACACAATTTCCCCCAGCCTCTGTAGCAAGAGGACCGAAGAGTTCACAGATCGCATGATTATTCAATGGGGCGAGCGCCTGCTCCAAAAGCGGTTATGGCTAACACCTGTCTCTAAAAGACTGTGTATATGTCCACTTTTGGGGTGAAGGAGAAGGCGGCTTTAAGGTCCCAAGGTGTGATCCCCTCATCGGTGCCGTCCCACCACCTGGGAAGTCCCCTTCGTCCTGCGACCACCATTCACCCCTGTGGACCGTTCGAGGCTCAGAATGCTCCGGCTCCCCAAGGGTTTGGCGTGTTCTTTGTCCCTATAGGGCTCCAGTCGTACCTTCTAAGAAGGTGGGACCTGGGGTGGGTTTAGAGGCTCCAAATACCTTCTGAGGGGTTTGGGTGCCGAAGCATGGGCCCAGCTCCACCTCTGGGTGTTACACGGTCTTCGGCTCCTTGGCTTTCAAGAAGCGTCCGGTGAAATGCAGCTCCTTCGCGCGGCCCGGACCCATGATCCGCGAGAGCCTGGTGGCATCGGCGGTATGGCGGCATCGCGGGCGGCTGGGAGATGGTTAGAGGGGGAAAGTGTGGAGATGCTCCGCTGCTTTGAGAAAACACTGGAGGAAGCTGGCGCATCTGAGAATAAAAATGGCCGACGTGGGAGTCAGTTCTGGGGGCTTGGAGACCAAGAGCAAGGGACGGTTGCTGCATGTAGAAGATTCAATGCTAATAACAACAACCGCCCCCGGACAGCACGAGAGATTTTTGGTGAGGAATTGCCATGGTGACAACAATGTGTCATCTTGACACCGTTCCTAGCTTAAGATATGACTGGGCAGTTCAGCAGGTTCCACTACCAAGTGCGGCTGCAACCTTGCTACTGGCCAGCCATGGGTGGGGAAGCAACCGGTGGTTCAGAACCGCTTACGATGTGCATGAGATGGACAAGCCTCTACCACGTGCCAAAGGGGCTGTGCTAGCTAGCGGTCACTGGCACTTGAAACCCCGCATTGGCCTTTGGTACTTCTTGGCCTCTTTTCGGCAGAAACACGCACCCAGGCCAGGTAAATCTTGAACTGCAGTAGGGCTTGATTTCACCAACCCTGACGACAAAAAATGGTTGACTTTTGAAGTGAATCAATTGCCGAGCTGTTCCTGCTATCTCCTGTTGCTTCCGGTGTCTGTTGCTTGATTGATGGCCATCTTACGTCGCGAACCTCTTCCTCCCTTTTAAACAACCACGCACCGTCCTCTGGGCGAATCTCGGTGGCAAACTGTTGGATAAGAAGCTTGTTTTCAGGACACCGCCCCCTCACATTCGCAAAGCTTGCACCTCAACCTTTCAAACTTTATGTTCACTGCCAGGCAGCTTCTGACTCAAGCCCCAGGCTGGTGCAATGCCGAACTTGGAATGGGTATCTGCGAAGCTGGCGTTCTCACCTTGCAGTTTTGCGGTGGACATGAACTAGTTGTGGTGGATGAATTCTGCCTAGCAAAGAAGTCAGCCAGGCTTTCGGAATATGAGTGGCCTGTCGCTGTATTTCTCTCGAAATGTTGCCCCGATGGGATAAGAAGTTCAAAGAAACACATTCCTTTTCACAAGGGAGCTTCAACCCACACCCATTCCCTTCGCACAACTGTCAAAAAAGAAGGGGCACTTCCTGAATCTGCCCTATTTTGACTTATTTTGGATTCTTTAAACCTTGCATGGTGGCAAAACCCACCCCCAAAAATGAACTTTGCAAAAAGGCGACGCCCAAAACATAAATTTTTGAAGCCACACCCCCATCAACAACCTGTAGTGGCATGGATTCCCGGGCCATCCCGGCCAAATCCTGCCAGACCAAACAAATCTTGCTCAGATCTCCGTTTTAATCTCACAGGTTCCCAAGAGACCCCGCAACAAAAGCAACACAACCACTCAGAGTAAGGATACCTCACTAAATATGACCTCACTGGTCATCCACTCTTGGTTGGTTCCAGTGCCACTGGCAGCTGGAAATCCCAAACACAAGGAGCACAGCCGCAGGGTGTGTTGTCTTCTCGGTTTGGTTGGCATGTTCGTGGGTCGGTGCATCAGGCCCAAGCTGTTTTGGCGCATCTTGGTAGGGTTCGTAAGATTGTGCGTCAGAAGCATGGTTTTTACCAATATAGTGGCTTTTGTTTGGTGGCCTCTCGTTAGGTTTGTCTGTGGGCTTCCGGTTTTTCTCTTTTGGGGAGGGAGTGGGCGTCGTTCCTCTTATGGACGTTCGTCTCGAAGACATGCGCACAAGGAGCACTTCAAGAATAATCAACCCCTGCTCCATTTGGCTGTGGGTCATGGCGCCCGGACCCTAGTAATCCCTGGCAGGTTGACCTTCCTAGTAGTTGTTTCTCTTCAGGCTCGGTGGTCGGGTCCCCTGATGCCATACCCCTTCTGTTCGCTGAGGCCGGTCGCTGGCTATGAGCATGTCGCAGGCCAAGGCCAGTTCGAAGCCACCGGTGATTGCAAAGCCATTCACCGCACAAATCACCGGCCAAGGGAAAGTTTCCTCAGCCGGGTCCGTTTTTTACGTCAAGTAGGCGCTACTTCGATCCCCTCACCTCTCCAAGTAGGCCATTTGGCAGGTGGGCAACCCGACAACCGACCAGTGGGGAACCCCCAAATGCGGGCTCATGCGTTGCACAGATGAACCGCTGCCGTCTTCCAATTCGAGCTCGCTCATTTTGGAAGGTTTTCTCAGCCAGTTGTCCCGATCTTTTCCCATGGACAACATCTAGACGTGCAGTAGACTGAAGGAACATGCAAAAGCACCCTGGAATGCAAACTTCAAAAAAGGAACACAGTAATTTACTTTAAAACGATAGTTCATATCTGGAGGCCACTTAGCACTTACAATAATTGCCCTTTTCATTATTCAATATCGGCCAAGTGTCAATCTGGACTCTTGGATCCTTCTCCACAGGTGTTGGGAAGTATCCAGTAAAGATCCCATCTGCCTTCAGCAAGTCAACGCCCGCAGAGAAGGCCTTCTTCCCAGCGCCCGTCAAAATCACCGCGCGGACCTTCTTGTCCTCACGTAGCTCACGAAACAAGGTGGCGATGTCGTTCATCATGTCCATGGTCAAGGCGTTCTGGGCCTTAGAAAGCCCTAAATCCACCTGCATCCCGGGCCCATGCTTCCTTCAGGCTCATTTCGGCCACAAATCTCCCATCTTAGTCCCTGTGAGTGCCCAAAAAATCCATTCAAATACTAAGTCCCTCCATCCCCGGACTTTTTTTCTGTTAATCACCGGTCTTTTCCGTTCCGAGGGGCATCTGGCCGATTCAGGGTCACGATGTGAATGGCACCCTCCACCTCGCTACTGTGGGAGATCAACGACATCGCTCCGTGGCACCGCGTCGCTTCGGTCGCTCGCCGGTCGCGCTGGGCTCGAGCCAGGAGATCTCCAGCGCTCGTTGTCCAGCTCGTTGTCACGGGGGTGGCGGGGGGGTCTGTGGGGTTCTGCAGGGTTCTGCGGTTCGGAGTGCAGAACCGAGCGTTTTGGGACGACTTCTCCTGTAAGAGTCGGGCATTGTGCCTGGAATAGACTGAAGTCAGTATATAATGGAAAGAGTAAACTTCAAGAAACCTTCCCATTTTTCTTGTGTGGCTACCGAAGGCGCAGGAACTAAATGCACATGATCGGCGGATCATTCCTTGGAAGGTGTCATATCAGAAGTAGTGGATGCGTGGGATGCGTGGGACATGAACTGAGAGAACCGGCAATTTGCTGCAGTCAGAATGATTCGGAATGTCACTTGGGGCGCGAGTTGCAACTCTTCACGCTTCTAACTCACCCTCTTCTGATCCTAAATCGTTCGAAACTCTGTGCCTCGCAGCTCCTGCTCTTTGTACGTCTTCGTTCATGTCATGTTGTCGAAACCCGATTCCACCAGTTGTCCAGGACTCGTCTTGGGCATCGGCCGCACGGTCCTTCTCGAAGCCTATGGACCTCAAGGCCTCCAAGACCTCTCGTCCCAAGTCCATGGGGGCTCCGCCTGGGCGCGGCGAAACGGCACGGCCCGTTTCGGCGCCGCTGCGGTCCGGTGGTGGACATGGGCAACAAAGCAGCAATGAGTCGAGAGTCGAGTGATAGTCTGATAGTCACGATGATTCATAGTGATAGTGAGTGGAGTGAGGATAGAGGACAGTTTTCTGTGTTCTTCTCCACCACCTTGGTGAATTCACCTAGGCCTTGAATTGGCGTTCGGGAACCGTTTCTGCCGAATTGCGGTGTGCCGGCGCCCTCTAGGCCCCCCAAAAAAATTAATGAGAAGCATGAATTATAGTATTGTGGGTGGCGCGCCCCAGAAGCAAAGTCCAGGAAGACGTGCGGGATGTAAACAAAGGGCAAGTTCTCATTTTCGATGAAGGGCCATCTGCTCACGGACAAGCATTGCAGGCTTGCCTCTATCGTCTTTGCAAAAAAGAGCCCGGCCGGACCGAGGAGTTTTACTGACCTGTCTTTCAAAGTCTTTCACTTAAGGGTCTGGGATGGAGCGCATAAGGAAATTGAGCAACATCACCACAAATCACTTAAACTTAAACTGCAACTTGTACTTGGACCTAACATTGCAACCCGAATTCCCGTCACGAACGCCTTTTGGACCCCTCTCCGAACCAATTCTCCTTCGGCCCTTCGGCTGCCCGCACTGGAGCCACTGGCGACGGCCCGCGTCAGCAGCTTCTCCGTCTAGGCGTGAAGGTGGTGGCGTTGGGGACGGCGCTTGGCAGGCGAGCAGGGTCTGAGTAGAGGTGAAGTCTTTCAATGTAAATCGGTTCCACTTCTAGGCTCCTTGGAAGTGCCCTAGGGCTCCTGGCCCACCTCCGTTTCGAAGATGGTTGGGGTGGGTGCCAGGGGGGTCTAACCACCGAACCTGAGGATATGGGACGATCGGAGCCCTAGGGTTGTGACATGCCTCATCCAATCGACCAGTTTCCAGGACCGCGTGTTGGGGCCTTCAAGCGCACACGTGAAAAACACATCAGTTCCATCCACCAGACTCGGGATTGGACACCGAAAGGCTGAAAGCATCCTGACAGATCGCTGACAGAACCGGGATCGGAGAAGGTCATCATCGTTGCCCCAAATCTCAATTGAATTCTTGAGATGTGATTCACATCGTTGCCCAGGTGTTTGCCAAGTTTGTGGTTTCACTCACGCGAAATGTTCAAATTCTTAGAGACATTTGGGCGCATGAAGGAATATGGGTGAATGGTCGATAACGGTCGTAAGTTTGCTCAACCGGCAGTAGCTACTCAGAGCTGCCTCAATTGGGTCTTCTGTCTTCTGCATTCCATGAAATCCATGCTACATCCACATCTCTGCCACCGCGCAGTAGCACAGGATTTCAACATCTCCAGGATCTTTTCAGGAACATGTTGGACTAAGGCTTGTTCTCCCATGTTCTCCAGTGGACGCCCGTCCGACCTGTCAGGCTTCCGAATGCTGCCAAGGAGCTAAAGCGGTCCCGGCCAAGGTCAAAAGCTCGCGATGTGCCAGGCCAACACCTTGCAAGCACCGACAGGTGTTAGACTGTTAGACTTCTCACCAGTTTGGGCGTCGATCGTTTGTGGTCGATCACCGAAGAATGCTCCCTCTCCAAGCTTCAATCTTAAGTCCGGTGGTCAGAGTTCATCTGAGAATGGTGGCCTTTCGGCCGGATGGAAAAGAAAAACACACCAGCAGTCTCAAAGGGGTGCTTATATAATGGAGGTTCGGGGTGCCCCGGTCACATCCACTCACTTAGGGATGTTGGTGTTTTTTGGCATGTGGCTCTTCTTTTGGTGACTCACGGTGCAACGGCTGCGAGCACGGCTGCCTGAACCAACCCGAACAAGACATTCTCCTTGCGTGGTGCGATCGGCTCCATCGACTGCCTACCTCTCCCAGTGCGCTCCCAGTGGAGTCCGATGACAAGAGCCGGCTATGCCGGCAGCGTTCCCGAGACATATGGAAGTCGGATTACCATGGGGATCAATCTAAGGTGCTCAAGCCAAGGCAGGTTTCGACCATACATACCCCAGTGCATCCCAGTTACCACTATATAAGGAACCAGGGGTTCTAGGTCCATGGTGTTAGTCTTTGCAACCACTGGTTACCAGCTATAGTGGTAACTGGATGCCCTGGGTACAGCAGAAATATTTCTTACCACTTCCAAGCCGCATTTGGACGTGTCAGGATGTCTCCTGTTTCGTCAGTATTTCCCACTCTTCCCAAGACCTATGAGGCGATACAACCACCCTATCCTGCGTCCCCACTACGGAATTGGAGGAAGGCCGGTGGAATGGTTCCGTCCCTCAGCTAGCTCCATCTCCTGGGAAGGTCGTTGGACCATGTTGGACCTGCAAAACACCACGACCGAACCCACGCGCCGAACGCGCCGAACGGATGGGTCGTCCGTCTAGCGCGCGCGGAGGAGGACACAGACGGAGCGTGAGGCGGGCGGGAGAAAGGCACCTTCCAGTGCAGAGATCACGTCCTTGGCGGCCTCGAAGTGGAGTTGGCGCCGAAGCGAGCACCGAGCTAGTTGTCTGTGGGGATTCATCTGCTAGCTGATGCTAGTGATGGAAAACAACAGCATTTCACATGGGCATTCTGTGAAGCAAGCGGCTCTTTTTTCTGCAAAGCCTGACCAATGCTTCTCAGAAGCTTTGCGACCCGAGCCACGATCCGCGACCAGCAGCTAGCAGCTAGCACCATGAAAGTTTGCCATAGTTGGGATGACTTGGGTCTTGTTGCCATCGCCAGATGTGGAGGTTCTCGTCTATGGTGAGTGGGGCAGGGACCTAGCTGTTCTCGCTCAGGATGCTATCGGGACCCCCCTACAAAAAATGCAATTCAAATCATTTGGCATGGGTTGGCGGTCGCTGGAATTCTATTGGGCTGGGAAGGTTAGTATAATAGTATATAAGTGAAACAGGTAGCATATAATGCATCTGCGGTCATATATGCGGTCTTCAGAACGTCCAGTATCGACCCCCGCAGACTCATTCTCCTGTCGTATCACTGTGCATCAAACCAGTGGTGTGGTTTGCCCTGGTCATTCTGAGACACCCCGCAGACCTCACTCAGCGGGCATGCGATTCCAGCCTTTGCGGGGGGGTAGGGCGCCTAGCCATACAGCAACTATAGTAAGCCCCGGACACAAGACACTTCCCGCGGGCGATCCCCGAAATCTGGAGATGGTCAATTAAAGAGTGCCATACCCAGACACTACCCATGGGACTGCCATAGATGCGGATCAGTTGGGGTGGTGACAGAGGGGTCAATGTAGGCATATATGGCAGTCCCATGGGGTGTCTGGGATAGAATCACTCCCCCTTCACCTCCCTTGTTGCCCGTCTGCATCCCGGGGGAGCTCGCCGCGCCTCCCGTGGGGGCCGTTGGAGCCGTGCCGCATGAGCTGCTGCGCAGCTCGCCATCCGAGGCCTCCAGGTGGGACTGGAGCGACTGGATCGACCAGCCATGTTGGAAAACTAATAGCTTGCTCCGTTCGTAGTACGGCCAAAAGCCCCGTCCGTAGCGTCCTTGCTCCATTCGATTCGCGATGCCAGGATCCCCGTTCATAGCTCCTGCATACTAGTAGGTATAAGGTGATGACTAAGGTGATGATCTTCGGCAACCGCCCAAAAAACACAGTAAAATGAATCGTTGAACAATGTCCCATTGTCCACCTCGTATTCTTGACCGCTCAAGGAATCAAACACGTGGAATCGGGATGGTGGATCTGTATCTGTCACACTGTGACGCTGTTGGCCTCTTTGGCCCCTTTTGGAACCTCTTTCTTTTTCCTTTTGGGGTCGAAACAGATCGGGTGATGAAAAAATATGAAAAACGAGTGACCCAGGAAGTGCCGTACGGCACCAGTGCCGTCTCCCCGTCTCCGGTTTTTCGAGATGGGTGTCGTAAAACGCTAAGCTGTTTAAGAGATCGAACCTCTGCTCACAAATCTGCCCCCAAAAATGGCAGTCAGAAAGGTCAACCACCAGCAGTCACAAAGGGGTGCTTAATGGAGGTTAGGGGTGCCCATTATCCACTCACTTGGGGATCAAACACCACCCCTTTGTGACTCCTGGCAGAAATATCCAACAGGTTACGGGTCAATTACTCCGCCCTAAACTACTGCACTGCTTCTTCGGATTTGGGGCACCCGGCGCCGCCCATGACACTGCAGAGGGCGCGCTGGCAGCGCGGGCAGCTGAGACCACCTCAAGAACAGCTGAGACCACTTGACTTGCAGTAGATATCCCACCACATTTCGAAGGGACCCGGGGTTCTGGAGAGCTCTCTCTCTCTCTCTCTCTCTCTTTCTGGAACTGGTGGTTCTGGAAAGTACGAATGATTCGTGCTAGCTGAATTCATTGTAGCTTTGAGATTCAGCAAAACCGAACTATCCAAGATCTTAGAATGTCTCATGCTCGAGGTCTTTGGAGTATACTGGCTCCTCTACACCTCCTTCGTATGTCAAGTGTTTCAGGTCCTTCTGCGGACCAATGGATAAATTGTGATGCACTCATGAGAGCTAAATATAGGCAATTAGGACTCTCTCCAAAAAACCATTCCACTTTCGAGTGGAATTGCTCTGGCAGATTTGCTCTGGGAATCTGACTACCGATTTCCTTCAGATCCCGGGAAAATGAAAGGTAAACACTCATGGAAGTGGAATTGTACACCATTGTACACCCCACGTCAAGAGCATGTATTTTCATTGGCTGTTCCCAACTATCATCACCTTCTATATGCCTCTTATTAAAAACAAGTGCCAAAGATATGCGCTCCCTGAAATCATGGATGACCATGAAATCATAAGACCAAACAGGGGGTGAACTCCACTTCCATGATATGTTGATTCCACAAAACATCACCAACCGTTTCACGCTGTTCGATTTTGACTGGGATGTCCTCACCCCAAAACGGTGACCCACCGGCGATCTGCCATGCCGTTGGGTCCTTTTTTCTCTTTCGTCCGAGTTCAGTGCCAAGTCGTTTCGACCGCGTCGAAACGGTCGTCCACGCGGTGGGTGGAACGCCAGCGGTCGGTGCGGCCGCGGTCAGTGCGGTCGGTGGATGTGGATGGTGTGATAGGGTGATCAACTCAGCATGACTCAAGAGGTTGGCTTAAAAGAACAGCTGCGCCATGTTGCACCAAGCAAACGAGCACGGAAAAGAACACGTCAACACACACACACACACATCAGGTAAACCTGAAGTGAGTATTTCCACCGGGCTGTGCACTCAATCAGACTCATCTCGACTTTCTGCATCATCCGTTGCACCATCAGCAGCGAGGCACACCTGGGGTGCCAAAGTCCGAAGAGGTTATGACGCCATGCTGGAGTTGATTCTTACATATTCTTCCCCATGGTGAAGTCTGACAGATCATGTGAAGGTCAGCAAGTCCCCTGAAAAGACGATGAAACATTCTATATAGGGGGTAATATACTCCCCCCCTAGGCAGCACTCTGAAATCCCTAGTTGCAAGCAAGAAGCACGAAGGAAGGGATACTTCCGAACCTGGTCAAGAGCAAATTGGAGCACGCACTCAGTCACTTCACTTCACTTCACCTATCCTATCCTCACCTCACCTCTCTTTCCTTCACAGGCAGTCGCCGCTGAGCCATCTGAGAACCTCCAAAAGACTCATGAAGTGTCGAAAGGTTGTGGATCATGGCATCCAGAAACCTACCAATGTGTCGGTCCAACTCGCTCTCGCCGGAGCGAGTCATGGTGGGGTGGGCGTGGTGGAGACGGCAGCGGAGGATCGGCGAACAGCATCGTTGACGTTTTACCGTCTATAGAGTCTAGAATTCATAGAGACCATGAGTGTCCCTCTCCCATCTTTCATAATATCCATGCTTACTGAATTGGACATTCCTAGGGCCTAGGGTGTTCAATCTCCAAAATCATCCAAAATCATCAAACCTGGTGGCAAACCTCCGTAGAAATGTGATGAGATGTGGATGTGGATCGTTGATTCCAGAGGACCAAAGATCACATCCTATGCGACAAAACAAGATGTTCTCTCATGTGCAGCAAGAGCCTGCACGTCGATGACACGTGGACACCTATCCATAACCTATCCTGCATTTGGCCTCCAATAACCTGACAACCACTCTTCTACGTGGGAAAACCACCGGCCCCCTCTAATAAAACGATTTTAAAGAAAAACAACGGCGAAAGTGCCACGTGACACCCATTGTGTCTCCCTACCAAAAAAGAAACCGCAGCTGGGTGAAAATCGAAGCCTCTCAACCTCCAGGCCTGCCGTTGTGGTCGGTGGTTGGGGATTGCTTCCAAGAAGCCATGGAGGTTCCCAGGGTGCGCTCGCTCGAACTGCTGTAGGGGTACTGCTCGAATTCGAAGTGACACCGTCGGCACGCCCAGCAGGGCCCTAAGAAGCCACAGACCTGCGAGTGTCGTGACATGGATGGCCATCCGGCCGTTCTTGTTTCAGACCATGCAATCCCAAGAGCAAGGGGGTACATTCCACGTAACCATGTGAGTTCCAGGTAAGGTAGTTGGATCGATGCGGATCAACGGTGGCTGGGTCGAGGGCTGGGAAAGAAAAAGAAACAAAACCCATCAGGACCCTAACTGCACAATGAATCCAAGAATGTCTTGTTTGTGTCCCTCAATCTGATGGGCCGAGAAAAACCAGGGCAGGATGTGGATTCGCTAGCCATCTATCAAAGCCTTGCATGGAAGGCTGGGCACCACCACAGAACCCAATTCCATCTGTTCTCCATAAATCTTTGGCGGATCTACTTGGCTCAGCTGGTCCCCCCAGGAAAAAAACGGCGCGAGGATGAGTACCACTGCAGAAAATCATTATATAGTTTGATGATGATGATGATGATGATGATGATGGATGATGGATGATGGATGATGGATGATGAATGATGGATGATGATGATGATGATGATGATGATGATGATGATGATGATGATGA